GACCTACCAACAAAGTAATTAATTACATGAATCATTTAATTTAATACTATTTATTAAATAATATAGAAATGTGACATTACAATCACACAAACTTGCATTCAGTTGCAAACAAAGTTAATAACAAGCGGAAGCTTGTTTTATAAACGCTACACTTTAAGCTTGTCAAAACGCGCATGGAGCGTCTGCGCCGTATGGAGCAGTCCAGTCGCGCATGCGCGCACTACTAGAGCAGAGCTCCCGGTGAATTTGAAAGACACTGGACAAACTTTACCAAAAATAATCCTAGTCCGTATTCGAAATAATTCTAAACAGATATTTTTTACAAGAAAAAATTCTACACTGTTTATTTTTTATCTACAGCAAATATCCTATTCTGTGTAAAATTATTTCATAAATGGTGTAGGGTTATGCTTAAATAAAGTTTGTCCGGCGCCATTTGCAATAGTTGCTTATGTGCTTATTAAGTTATTGTGGCCTAAGCTTATATTAAAAGCGAATTACAACGATAGGGTTACGCACATAAGACTTCAGCTTCTGATATTCGAAAGGTTTGATTCGTTTTTTTAATAATAAGAAATTATTTTAATAATAAGAAATTATGTTCAAAACAAAGTCAAGACGTCAAAACATCGAAACACACATCGAAGCACATGGAAGATTGATGTTAGGAATCTTTTATTAGAACTCCATCACCATATCAGTGTAATCAACAGAAAAATATTATAGTTTCATTTCTTGGTTTCTATCTCATTTTATTATATAGATAAATTATAAATATTATATAGATAAATCTATCCTTCTCTCTTAAAGTCTTATTTATGAGCATACTTTTTCAAATGTTTCTAGTCCGGTTTAATGCTAATTAATTAATTAAACTTAATATTCAATAAATGTGGCTCAAAGAACAGAAAGTATATAGTGTTAGAGACTTTGGTCCCCAGCACCAATGTTTTGCTGAAGTAATCATAACATCCATCAATCGGCAACTGCTTGCGGGCACATAATATAATATCAGTGGATTCATTCAATCTATAGCAGTCGAAGTAGGCACTTGTATTTTACATTCATTAATTATCTTATAATATTATTTTAATAAATTCCTTTGTTCTTTTAAAACGTCTTTAATAATAGTTATTAGATGATTATTCTTTAATAGGCCTTAACTAATTAATGTCCAATTCTCAAAATTCCGAACCTTAGTAGATCGAATAAAAATAAAGTGGGATGTTTGTTGTAAATAAAATTAAGTGATATTCTTATTTTTTATAACTTGGTTACTCCATAAAGAGTAAAAAACACAAAGTATTTGTTTTACTTAAAATTTAATTAGATGAAACTACATACATATACAGGGTGATTCAGAACAAAAAAAAATTGGATGATTCTTACAAATACAATTTTGTAAAGAAAAAATCAAAAACGGCACTTCGAAAATGATTTAAAAACCACTTCTGCGCGGCAGTGGAAACTGGTCTACTGTAGAACCACGCACAATGCGACTGGCATGGCGGCAAAGTGTGATAAAAACGGACAAAAACTTTCGCAAGGAAAGAAATAAATAGAATTTTATAGCACCTATTTTATATCAGCAAATTCAACTGCTTTTGGCGTTATTGTTATTATTAATTAATAAAATTATTATTAATTTGTAGTTTTAAATAATAAAATAATTCGACATACTTAATGTTACAACAACTGTTTAAAATTTTATCCACCGACGTGTAAACACATTTGGGACTGTCTTACTCAGTTTCTACGAACTAACACAAATGTGTGCAACAGTATATACAGGGTGTTTCGCCTAAGAACTGACACAAAGCAGGGGCATGTAGGGGAACCCAATATATGGTGATTTAACGCAACTTACCGTTATACTAAGCTGCACTTCTGAGAAGTTTGAGAGAATAAGTGGTTTCAAATTGGGGAAAAAAACAATATCTCAGTTATACTTGAACTTAGAAAAACCAAATTTTGTTACACGGTGTGAGTGTATGAAGAGCATTAATTGACAGTAATTAGAGTTCCATTGAAGCATTTTAAAGGGTTAATAAGGGATGATGCCCCATCAAAATGTCCCTGGTATGTATCGGTCCTTATATGAAACACCCTATATAAATAATTTTTAAACACTATATATAACATTTTTAGACTTATAACGAATTGTGGCCATTCATATAAAAAAAGTAAAATTGTATTTACTGTATCTTGTATATTCCTAACATTCAGATTTCAGAAGCATACGAACCTCAAAAATAATAGGGATACGCCATATACATTTTTTATAAAATGTTCATCGTTTTACGCCCTTGAATTCTAAAAAAATCGTATAAAGATTTTTGATTTACTCTGATAGGAAGAAAAAAATATATTTATACTTTTTCCGTAATGTTTTCCGTTTTACAGTTATTCGATTATTTATAATAAAACAATAAGTAAAAAAAAATAACTTATTGCAGTTAATTTAACTCGTTAAAAAAAATAATAAAAAAGTGACAACGACACGCGGTGTTCCCAAGCGGTCACCCATCCAAGTACTAACCGCGCCCGACGATGCTTGACTTCGGTGATCGGACGAGAACCGGTATTTTACATCGTGGTGTGGCCGTTGCCTAATAAAACATTAAGGCTATTGGATTACATAGTGAGACATGACATACATATTATTTATTTTTATAAAAATGTAAATACGAATAAATTTAATATTTCAACTCTAATCTTATTTTATAACTACAACTAACTTATCTGTGACAAATAAATCTAGATACCTCTCAGTAAAGATAAGGATACATAAATACATATGTACCTGTAGTGTAAAAAATATAAATTAGGAAATTATTTATTTTAATGACACACTTTTTATAATATTAAAAACTGAAATAAAATAAAAACGTTCATATAAACATAATTAGATCAAAATTCCTGGAAGAGGCACTGGAAGAATAGAAACAGTGCCAAGTTAGACAACCAGTTTTACTAGCCGCATACTGCTGCCATCTGGTTTTGAGTGGCTATAAACAAAGTTCTCGAAAAGCCTAAATAATAATCCCATTTTTCATCACAAATTGACATATCCTTGAAACCACCTTGTGTGATAAAAATTTCGGAATAGACTTTAACAAGTTATACTAGAAGCAGGGAATTTATATTATTATTTAACTACTTATAGTTCAAATTAAGTTTACTGAAGAGAGAGACTGCAGTAAAAGCAAACTAAGTAGTTTTGTGACGACATACAGGAACTAAACATTTTTAAAATATCAAAATGATTGAATATACTTTTGTATAAATTCTATCTGGTAGTGATATTAGTAAGTAATCATTCTTATTAGATCAATAAATGTCTTATAAACAAAGGGATATCGATTTGAATGAGAACCAGTTTGACCATAAGTTTAATCACAGACAAAATAGCTGGCGATTAGCTAGCTATATTGTCTGTGGTTTCATGAAAGTACTGCTTCCATCTAGTGTTCTGTATGTCAATTATAATATCCATTTAGAAATTATATGTATAATTTTCTGTAGTCTAGGATAGTATCCAGACAAAAATATTTTTTCAAAAAAAACCAACTGCATATTTCAAGAATTAGATAGATGGCGTAAGTGCTTTGTAACGCTTAGGGGTACTGAATTGAGAGAGTACCGCCAACAATGTTTCCATAATGGCCCGAACATGGCGTCGGTTGACAAATCTAAATTGAATATGGTGAATATATGGTTGCATAGCTTGACAGTAATCGGACCCGAGATCTAATCGACAACCGGCAACCAAACATACATTTGGCCCGAACATGACGGATAATGGCGGTACTCTCTCAATTCAGTGAGCCTAGCCTAGCTCTAATAACGCTCAATAAATGTAATACGCCGAGGAGCTCACGGCGGGTGGTGTGAAAATTTGCTTTTTAATAATCTTTCCTTTAAATTATTTTACAACAATGTATAGCCCAATTCCCAATTGTGCACGAGCTGACAATAACGCACGGCGTTGCTTGAAGTTACACAAGCTTGTCCAGCGGCGGGGTATGAAACTTACTAAAAAAAAAGGTTAAATAATTGAGTTTTCACGACGGAATTTGGAAAAATAAACTATCGATACATGTTTCTAACATGGACAACAAAGTCTTTTAATAATTAGTGAAACAAAAATTTTTTTTAGCTAGCATTAATTTTTATAACAATTTCTAAGACCAGAATAGACTTGATATGGACAGAACAGTTTTTGATAGTTTGGTAGTTTTAATTTTTTATTGTTGTCCCCGAGACATGCAATAATTTTTTTTCTTACTTTTTTTTTCTCCAAAAAAAATATGAAAAAAAATTCAAGAATCATAAAAAGTGGCATTTTTAGTTGCTTAATATAAAAAAACAAGTTTTAAAAAAATCAGTGGCACTTTTTTTTGTCAAAAATATTGGTTAATAATGAGACGTCACTACTTTATAATTTTAATTTAGTTAGGGCTAAATTGGTCCCTTTCTAACATAAATAACACTGCCAAATTACAACAAAACTGACTAAAAAATTAAGAATTTTACAAAAAAAAACGATTTTTTTTTAAAAACAACTCAAATAATTCTTTGCAAAAAGTAAATAAAAGTTTTCTTGACAATAAGGATCATTCAAACCTTTTAAGGCTTTAGAATTTTGTTTTTTTTTTGTAGATGTTACCAATACCAGTCTAGTCTACCAAATTTGTAAAAAAATTGCTTAACTTAACAAAAAGTTATGGGAAAATAGTTTAAAAAAATAACTTTGATGTTATTATGTTAACTCCATAAATACAGAATTTTGGTTGAAATGTTACAGAAACACATACCTCGTATCACCCACAAAATTTTTTACTCATCATTTTTGGACACTATCAGCTAAAGACTAAGTTAATAAACTAATATTAAACCTGTTACTTATTTTTAAACAATTATTCGTAAAAAAGTTAGACCAAACTTTCATTCATGAAAAACAATAAAACGAAAACTTAAAAATGCTAAAAGCAAACAAGTTTTGAAATAATAAATAGTTTATTACGACTTAACAGTACAAAAAATCGAATACTTCAAACAAAACAGCAACTCTTGGTAGAATTATCCCTGGTTTGACTTAACCCACCTTTTAATAACCTCACCAACATCAAACCTCAAACAGTTCCCTTGCGGATTCTCCAAAATAACGGTACCCGAGACACCGTTCTCCGTAAAATTGACCGTTTTGCAAAATGGCACCCCGTTTTCATCCGGAAATTCCAACTTCTTCCCTACTGGAGTCACGAATACCGTGTCGCCATTTAACTTATCCACCTGTCGATCGTTAGAGACTTCGCCATATTTCCTGGACCACAATTCGAAATCTTCAACACCGAAAAGCTGCGATACCGCCTTCTTTAAGCTATCTAAACCAATTTTTCTACCGACCACCTCCAATAATACCACGCCCCTAGAGGCTCCGTTGCAATATTTTGATTTTACACCAACCAAAGCCAGGTTGGTCCACTTTACGACGGGAAGTTGGACGTCGCTATTTTTCGTCAAAGCGACGTAGATATCTGTATCTTTCAACTTCTGGGTTTCTTCGATGATGAGTTGGTCGTTGGCCGTTCTACCATTCGCTCCTTTAAACGACGCCTTGATAGCAGTTTCGATAAAGTCTGTGTATTCCTTAGCGATTCTCTCCAAGTCTCCGTTGCACCTATAAAACACCGACACTTCATCCGTCGGTACGAGGTGCGCCTTCTTACGCAACTTCTGTATGCGATTGATGATCTCCCGAGCCATACCCTCGTCCTGCATAGACGAATCGGGCGTTACGTCCAACAGAATGACCACCTCGTTGTCGCTATGTACTTCGTACTGGTTCGAGTTTAAGTTCTCGCATTTAAGTATCAAACGGATTTCTTCCAGCTCGACGCGGTGTCCGGCGATAGTCGCAAAACCGGCATTTACGATCTTATTAATCTCCGAGTCGGTCAACGACTTCAAACCCTGGGTGACCGCTTTGAAGTCCTGCTTCAGCCGCGCTCCCAACAGCCTGTGGTCGGGCTCTGCTCTGAGTGTTATGCCAAACTTGCTCTTGTCCGTTGTGGTACTCACACGACGTACGTTCAACTCCGACAAGATGTAACCTTGCAGCGAAAGGATATCCTCGATGTATTGAGGGTCGTGGTGTACGACGATCACCTCCGGTAAGGGGTATTTGATGGGGATCGTTTTCCGGTCTCGTATAACCCTTCCTAACTCGATAACGCTCTGCATTCGTGCCACAGCCCTCTCTATGTTCGTGTCGATCAGTTTCTGGTCGGGTTCAGGCAACATCGTGAAGTGTACGCTGTCGGCGCTGTCCTGCGACAGAAGTTTCAAGTGTTGGAACATGCTTTCGGACAGGAACGGTGCGAAAGGTGCCATCATTTTGACGATATTCAGCAAGACGTTGAACAGAGTTGATAACGCCGCGGAACAGTCTTCCGTACCACCCTCGCCTTTCAGACGTTTGCGGTTCATCCTGACATACCAGTTTGTCAGGTAATCTATGTACTTGGTAAGCCGCGGTACGACGTTGTACAAGTGGTACAACCCCATCTCCTTACGAACGTAAGCCAGCAGCGACTGCGTGAACGACAGGATCCATCTGTCCATTATGTTGGAACTTACGACGTTCTTCTCGTCGTAAACGAAACTCTTGTTGTTCTCCTGCACGTATATTTCAACGTTCTGCATCAAAAAACGGAAGGCGTTGAACCAAGGCAGCAGGACGTCCTTGACTATGTCCCTCACGCCTTCCTCCTTAAACCGCAAGTTCTCGGCCCTGACGACGGGGGAATTTATGAGGTATAACCTCAAAGCGTCCGCTCCATACTTGTTCACCAGTTCCAGCGGATCCGGGTAGTTGCTTTTACGTTTCGACATTTTCTGACCGTCGCTCGCGAGAACCAAACCGTTGGCGATAAGATTCTTGAAAGGGGCTTTACCGAAAAGCGCCGTCGATACGACGATGAGGGTGTAAAACCAGCCACGTGTTTGGTCGATACCCTCGGCTATGAAATCGGCCGGGAACCGTTCCTCAAACTCCTTCGGATTCTCGAATGGGTAGTGGTTTTGAGCGTATGGCATCGTGCCGGATTCGAACCAGCAGTCGAACACTTCCGGTATTCTCCTTAGAGGTGGATTTCCAGGGACCTGACTCGGTATTTCCAGGTGATCTATGCTTTCCCTGTGCAGGTCCGTGACTTTTTGCCCCGTAAGTTCCTCTAATTCGGCGATGCTGCCAATGCACCTGATTTCATCCCCCTTGGGCGACACCCAGATGGGAATGGGAGTTCCCCAGTAACGGTTTCTGCTTACCGCCCAATCTCTGGCGTCCCGCAGCCAGTTGCCGAAACGTTTCTCTTTGATAAAGTCCGGCACCCAATAGGTCTCTTTGGAGGAGTTTAGGAGCTCCTCCTGCATGTGTTCCACTCGAATGAACCAGGAGGGGACCGCTCGGTAGATCAGGGGGGTGTCGGATCGCCAGCAGAAGGGGTAACTGTGTTTGACCTGTAAAAAAATCAGCTGTATGTGTAAGGAATCGAGTTACTTTTGAGGCTGTCTAACATTAGCTAGTGACGCCAGATGCAAAAAATAACTGACCAAGGAATTATATTTTTATTTCTTGCAACATTGCAAGATTTTTTCCAATATTTTATCGTTAACAAAGGAGAATAAAAAATGTTTTTTTGAAGTGTCAAACAATTTTATTATGTGGCCATCTTACACTACTGACCTTAAAACTTTACGTACTGTGTTGTTGTGTAAACAATTAATAATTGTGATGAAATAATTTAGTCAACCTAAAAAAATTTTTAAGCGTTAGCTGTGTGAATAATTATTGCATTAATATGCTGAATTTTTTCTGCAATCATTGAACCTTTCTCACAATAACTTTGTTTCAACTGTATATCTTAATTTGCATGGAAGATAGAATGTTAATAATATTTAGAAATACTGCAATTATTTATTTTAAAAATATTTTATTTCTCAGTAAACTTATTTAGGATGGTTCAATGATTGTAGAACAAATTCAGCATTTCCACCAAAGGCACGAGAAAGTAATTTTTTAACATGACTACGTTGCTCATGAAGTCAAAAATTCTTAGAATTGCTGAAATGAGATGTTTTACCCCACACACCATATTAACCCGATATTGCTCCATGGGATTACTACTTGTTCCGATCCATGGAACAAGGCCTGGCTAAGCAACGCTTCCAATTTTACGAAGATATGGATTGATTGATGGGCAGCATCAAAAGATGAGTTAGTTTCAAAGCAGAATCCGAATGCTGCCCGAAAGATGAAAAAACGTAGTGGCTAGCAATGAACAATACTTGGAATAATAATAATGTACACAATTTTTCACAATATAGACTTCAATTTACAAAAAAAAAATCACTCAACATTAATATTCAGTCCTAAAATTTCTAAAATAATTCATTTTCAAGGAATAAACTTGATTTTTATAAGAAACATGCTTAATTTTGATTAATATTTCTAAGATCTTGCATTTTATTTTTATTCCAATTTTTCCAATATTATTTGTGTCACAGTTTTTGTTGGAAATACAATTTTGAATACAATATAATCATGAAAATTACAAAAAAATTATTTCTGAAAGAATTTTTATTTCTCTGGAAGATTTTCTTGACTTCTGACGGTTACGTAATTATTTCTAACAATTTTACAAAAAATTCATGTAACTTTTTTTTGTATGAGAAACAGTTCTGGAATTAATTTCAATATAAAATAATAACGCAAAAACAGCTCCTTTTTCGAATAAAACGGGAAAATGGAAAAAACCGAAGTTTCCTCAATCTGTGAATCTTAAAATGCATTGAAATAAACTTTGTTTAAATTTCAACACCCTGTAACTCAAAAACGAATAACTTTTTTTATTGATTTGTGACATAAAGTCTACCATTAGAGTTTGGAAGAGTATAATACCCTGTATATCGTCAGACTGTCTCTCGTTGTGTGCATCTTACACGAATTCTTAAATAAATATTAACATAACATTTGAAAAACAACCTCAATTTTTTTTTAAGTTCCAAAGTAACATTTACTTGTTTTTGAGCCGACTAGATATATGTCACTGTGACCTACCTGCGACTGGTGCACAAGCCTTCCCCTAGTCTTGAGATTGTTAATGATATTCTTATCCGCGTCCTTCACGTACTGCCCCTGGAAATCCCTCACGGACGGCAGGAAGTACCCGCTAGGGTCCACGGGACACACCGGGTCCTGATCTTTCGTGATAACGCCCGCCGCCAGACAGACACGGTTATCGTCCTCTCCGAAATACGGAGCCTGATGAACCACGCCCGTGCCGGATTCTTCCGTCACGTAACCGTCTGTCAAAACGACAAACGCTTTATCTTTGAGATGCTGGAAATAGTCGAATATCGGCTCGTATCGCAACCCTCTAAGTTCCTTCCCCGGAAACCTTTTTAAAATGGTATAATCTCCCGCCGCGAAGATGGTCTCGATGCGGCTCTCCATCATTATGTAAGTCTTCTTCGTGCTCGTCTGCTCGAAACGAGCGTAGATCAACTCGGGGTGCACGCAGGCAGCCAAGTTGCTGGGTAGGGTCCACGGAGTGGTCGTCCAGATTAGGAGGGCGGCTCCGTCTTTGTCGTTCAACAGCGGCAGACTTACGGTGACTGCCGGGTCTACGACGTCCTTGTAGTTCTGGCCGGATTCAAAGTTGGACAGAGGCGTGTTGCAGGCCGTCGAGTAGGGCATGACTTTGTTGCCTTGGTAGACGAGGCCTTTTAGGTAGAGTTGCTTGAAGACCCACCACACGCTTTCCATGAACCAGGGGTAGAGAGTCTTGTAATCATTCTTGAAATCTGGTAAAAATTAAAATTACGTTCTTGCAATTAAGGATTGTGTTAGTTGCTACAAAAATACCTGTTCCTAATCACAAACCAATTGAATTTATGGTAAATCAAGAAAAAAACACGTTATTTAGAAATTTTGTATGAAAATTTATTGAATTTAGATTTATATATTGTATGTTTCAATATTGCTGCTATTATACCTCAAAACAATATATACAGGGTGATCCATTAACGATATGGAGCTGCTAGATATAGGAAACTAGATGTGCTACGATTATGGGGCAAAAAAATCTATCAATAAATACGGCCAAAAAAAATTATATAAAAATATTTTCAAGTTGGTAACTTCACCAATAGAGGTGATTAGGTATTATCGGCATCATCAACAATTAAAAACAAGCAGCCTTACCAATCCACCTTCCAATGCGTCCCATGACCACTTCCCATTCCTTGCTGTACCTCGCAACGATCTGCCTACACTCCAAATTGTACTTATCGATGCCCATTTTCAACACATCCTCAGGCCCCTTGATGCCTAACTTCTTATCGATTTCAAACTCGACAGGTAATCCGTGACAGTCCCATCCGAAGCGCCTCTCCACGTAATACCCTTGCTGATGGGCGTAACGGGTAACTATGTCCTTGATGGTCCCCGCAAGGATATGCCCATAATGTGGTAAGCCAGTTGCAAAAGGAGGGCCATCGTAAAAGGAATATCTGGAAACGTTAAATATATTTTTTTAAAAGCAAGAATTCTATTTCCAGCTGTTCTTGATTTGAGGTTATGTCGCTGTAAACCTTATAAATTGTGAATTATTTAACCAACTGTTTCTATTTATTAATAATCAATGTATATCTATACCTATTTAACAAAAACCGGTATATATAAACGTCTTGCTTTACCTAGGTTTCCCTTTGGACTGTTTTAGACTTGTCTGGAATGCGTCGATCTTTTTCCAATAATTTATAATTTTCTCCTCTTCCTCTGGAAAGTTGATAGTTTCTGGGACTCGCAAAACCTGCCCAGAGTCACTATACATTGTAAAATAAATATGTTCACTAAATAAGGATTACAGTCGGTTTAAACACGTTGAAATGATGCAATATACAACTCGCATCTCATGTCAAGTTGACAGATCACTTTAGTCATGGGTAACACCGTGTTGAATGGCGCTTTTGTGTTGACACCTCTCTGGGTGTCATGGGTGCTGAAACAGCCCACGTGACACCATGACACTTAATAACACCCAAGATGGCAGAAATTGCGGATTGCGAGTTACTAAACGGCGCACGGTGTCACGAGTCACCATCCTGATTCTCGATGGGATGGGGATTATATTATGACACCGCGGAAGCGCGATTATGGGAGTTAAGGGGCCACAGAGTCCCCGATTTAATATTTTTTCCAAAACTTATTTATTACGTATATAACACTTGTGAGTAAAACAATTTAATACTCAAAATATACCTAGGTATTTTAATTATTAAAACTCAAGTCGTTTAAAATATCTATATATTTACATAAAACACGAGTAAAAATAAATATCTTTGATAAAAAAAACATACCGCAAAATTAAAAAAACATAAAACTAAAACTGAAACATTAAAAAAATACTGATAGCTATGGTTTCGTAAATAAAACAAAATAATCAAAAATAAATTACAAAAATTGGACTAATTAGAATTATATTGTGAACTTGTAAAGGAACCGGCGTGTCATAACGAGATTGAACGCGGCGCAGACACGCAGACAGTGCCACACATCTGTATCTATCCGATCCAGTTTACTGTATCATGACACAATTGTGCTGATACGTTGTGTTGATACAGCAAGCCGTGTCGGTATTGTTGTGTCAATACACGAAAATTTACAGTGTTACCCATGCCTAGATCACTTAACTGCCAAAAGTGACAAAGCATGCCAAAGAGTCAAAGTAAAAACGCAAATGTTTTCTATTGTCTCTGGCAAATGTCAACTGCATACTCATAGAACACTTATTTCTTAGAAGTGTCCATGAACAACCCACAAACTTCTATACACCATGAATTTATGTAGATCCATCTCAAAACTAACATGTTCCAAAGGTTCCTTATAACCATATATGTAATACTACAACACAGAATAGAGACTCTGTGTTTATAAGTAGCTTGGATTACGTACAAAATACGTTGACTGAAGAGAATAGTGACAGCGCTAGACATTGAAATTATCTCTTCCATTTGAGAGTTTCTTCTGAAAAAGATACTAATATGCCTCTCGAAACGTCAGGTGACCTAAACTGACGACATGGTAACCGCGCCATTATTCCATGGCTAGAAATGAGCCTAAATGATTTGGGATCGAGGGGGATTATCCCTCTTTATCCTGCCTCATCTCGTGTGCGGCCTGGACAGCCTTCGTAGGTGGGCCCCAACCGCGCGCCATTATTCCATGGCTAGAAATTGGGCTCAATGATTTGGGATCGAGGGGGATTATCCCTCTTTATCCTGCCTCATCTCGTGTAGGCCTGGACAGCCTTCGTAGGTGGGCCCCATCCGTCGTCTACCCCGACCGCAAATGCGGCCGGTGTAGGCGCTTTGTGGGACCTCCTTTTGTCCTGGCTGGGCCCCGCCGGCTAGGGCCCTTTCTTCTGGCGCTCTTCTTGCTTCGCCGGCTCGTCTGTGTAAACCCCGGGGGTAGTGTCATGTTTATGTGTGGTATGGTTGGGTAGGGTAGTGCGGCTATGCAGCCTGGGATGCGCTTTGCTAAGGTGGCCCTTAGGCTAGCGCGGGAGGG